ATTAAATATATGTGTGATCATATAATAGACATTTTAGTGAGGAATAGTTTTGTACAACATATTCTAAACTACTGCTTGCTTCTTACATATTAGTTCTGATAGAAGATTAAATGCTGAACAGGAAAGGAACTTACCTCCCACATCTCAGCTGGTCTGGTTTCAAAGTGAAAGGTAGTTCAGGATATGTTACTGATAAATGTACTTCAAATACTCCTCCAAAAAGAATATCCCCAGGTTTATACAAACTATTCAACTCAAATTTGTTTTGAAGCTTACAAAGGGGCACTTTTAAAGTGAAGACCAGATGGACTAGATCAAGTAAAAAAAAGATATACCAAATAAATTTCATTGCTGCTGAGTACAAAGTTCCACTTTCTGGGAAGATGGAAAATCCCTGCTATATAAACCATTCCGGGCTCCTTGGAGAGTGCTCTGTTACACCGTAGTTTAAACAAGATGCTAAGTGTCATCTTACTTCATAAAGCATATTTGGAAAACTTGGTCAAGACAGCATCTGAAAAAAACACAGTCTAACATTTCTCTCGGTTACATCATTTTACTTTGAACAAATACTTGCCTATATCAATAACAAAATAATATTGTAGTGCCTTTAAATACATTATCAATAAAATGGTGCTTGGGACCAGATTGTGAAATGCAAATATGCCTTTTCATATTTGAAGACATGCTACTACACAATTATATACTTAGATTTCATGGACATCCTACACAAGTATTTCAACATCATAGTCTACAGAAGAACTGAAAAATGTTGGAGAAGACACCAGAGGTTATCGCATCACTTTGTGCATGAAAAAACATTTGTGACAGTGGTACCAAGCTGCACTGTTGAATTGTTTTTTCAATAATGACTAAAGCATTTTATTCCAGCATTGTAGAGTTACAATACCTCAATTAAATAATTTTAACAGAACAATGTAGAACTCCTTCTGTTCCTTGATATGCTCTGTAAACAAGCTTAAGAATGTACAGTATGTTTTTAAAACATGCTTTGAATGTTTTGTTTCAGAATTATTTTGGAACTCTCACATTTGAGTAAACACATGCAGAATAAAATGTATCTCATTTAGCACAATATTGCAGAAATGAATTGGTTTTGAGATGCATGTTGTGATATGTATACTGTACATTTATAGTATCTACCCTTGGAGGTTCTTCAGAGCAGTCAGACTGAAAGAGTAGCTGCTGTGCTGAAACACTGAGGTGCTATGGAGTTCTGGGTTCAGGAGAGAACAGACCTCAGGGGCTTCACTATACAGGCCCAGCTGTGAGGTACAGGGAAAGGGATGTGTCTGTCTCTGTACACACACAAGGACAGAGGTACAGTAGAGTACCTTGTTTTAACTGAGGTGTCAATAGGTGAGAACTCCTCTTAAAGCACTGATCTTGTTTCACGATTCATAAAAGCGGATCATTTTTTACTACATTTACATATTCAGAACAAACCATTTCCTATGTTAAATGTTCCTAAGGGAAAAATGAGCGGCAAGATGCCCCTCTTTTAAAGATGACAGACTTTCAGATCCCCAGTCTTCATTTGGAACGGCAGGGTGACCAAGTCATCCCTCACTGTGTCTGCTTTAACCTAGTCATGCTGCATCACTTTTTAATTTCCCCTCAATTTGACATTTTGATCACTTGCTGGGTGTGAACATTTTGTTGATCCAAATTTGGACGTGATTTGGGCTTTGAAAGAAAACCTAAGCACCTGGAGGAAACCCAGTTGAACACAGGGAGAACAGCAGATACTGCAGCAGGTCCAGGACTGCCTGCAGAGACTGAGCGCTGCAAGGCAGCAATGCTACTGTAGCAACGGCACCACCAAGCTGCCAGCATTTTCATTTCATAAAAATAAGATTTAAGCACAAAAATCAAAACTTAACAGAAAACAGTAGCTTACACAGAAAGGGTGAAAAGGGTAATTCAACAAGCCGTAAAAGCATCTGGTCAAAGATTTCTCTTTAAGAGCAATCTCTGGAAATGAATACAACCATTAGTGTCCTAAGAGTATCTAATTCTCCCACCCAGCCTTGCAAAATAGATGAATTTGCTGCAGATAGACCACAAAACTGTGCCTCAAAAGCGAAAGTAGTGAGAAGGAGCTAAACACCCGGATGTGTTTGGGCATCCTGCTCAGTTTTCCAATTAGGAAGCACTACAATGACTAAAGTTGTGCTGTTTTCTTGTGAGTTTTTTTCACATTAAAATTTGACTATCGTCTAAGGCCTTCAGAAAAGTGTTTTGCCAGTGATGACACAAATTAATTGTTACTACTTAGCAACATTTTCAGATGTTGTTTATAGCACATTAAATATAACTACTTCATGTATGGATAATAGTATGTTAATTGATGAAATTGTGCGCAGCACGATTTTACCTTCCGTAACCGACGAATGCCTGTTTCAGTTTGGCTCATACTGTCAGTTTCATTTTGTTGTTCATTTTTTTTTTATTTAGAATTATGATCTATAATCTATCATATAAATCATTTGTAATTATAAAATAATTGTTAAATTTGTTGGGGTAGGAGTGTTTTTTTTCTGTTTAATTGAAATACCACTGTAAATCCCAAAATTACGGGACCTTATTAGAGCCACAGAGGGGAAAAAAAAGTACAGTAGTACCATCCTACAAAAAAGTAATTTCACATCAAGAATAACATACGTTTGGAAATCCGTGTCAATTCTACTTAGCGTGCGGTGGTACCAAAAGGGAAGCAGGAGACGGGAGCGCAGCTCACTAATTTATTGCTCTTAATAATACAGGGGCGTGCTAATCACTAGGGGCGGAAAAGACCGGGGTAGCAAAAGCAAGACAGGGTGCTGAGCCAACTGCTCTGTCAGGGGTTTGTCTCGAGAATGAGCACAGGGGGAAGGGGGTCCCCTGTTTAAACAGGAGGGGAAAAGGTTAAGTGAGTGTGCTGGACCTGGCGGGCTAGGGGTCAAGTCCTCCGGCTTACTGAAACACTGAAAACAGCACGCTTTTAACCCGGAATGCTCACTGACATGTTGCTGTACCGACACCGCGTTGTACTTCGTGTATACAAAACACGGAACACGTGCTCCTTTAGGGTTTTCTTTGCAAAAGAGGAGTGTGACGATGCTACTTTGCATGGGCAATGTTATTGCATATATAATGCAAGATATTCATATACTTGTAGTATTGTAGGTAAGGCAATATTGTTCACGAAGTAAGTCGCGTTTAAACGCAATACTATCCCGCATAAATTCAAAAAAAAACTTTTCTTCTCCGTTGCGCTAGTACACTTCGATACAAAATACAATTTTAATGACAAAAACGTTCCACACGTACTATACATCGTTTCTAAAATTATTCACAGCAGTTTTAGCCAACTTCCCCTCAACTGAAAATGAGACTTAAGTACAGTATATCCACCTCCAGCTTCCCTGGTGTCTGACTAGAGATGTCAAACTGAATTGAGAGCTGCTGTGTGGACGCAGTGATGTGCTTTGGGAGACGATGCGGGTTAGTGGATGTCGTCTCTGGGTTCCTGGGTACAAATTCCAGGTGGGTCATATTGCTCTTTACTATCAAGCAAAATAGTTAATACATAAAATCACCTAAAGTTACCTCAGCTGTATAAACTAGTACCAAATTGTGGCATTAGGAAGACGATAACTGTAAACTCTCTACATTGCTTCTGATAAAAATATCACAATAACGAACGTGTCACAATAATAAGCCTGTTCTGAGCTCAAGAGAGCACAGTTCCCAGGAGCTTCAGCGATTCAGGCCCAGCTGTTAGTTACTGTGACAGGTGAGAAAGAACAAGGAAAAAAATTGTGTTGCTGCTCACTGACGCTTTTATGCAGCTTTGTCGGGGGGAGTGCTTGTCGGCTATTTAAAAATACGGTTGAGGCAAATACAGAGTATTACAGTACGTATCTCAGATGTAATTAACCGTATTATTTTACTTCTCAAATTGTACAGCATGCAATTGTCAAGCTTCCTGGAGGCACATCAACACTGTAACTTCCTCATGCAGGCTTGCAGTTTGTTTTTGAGTTAGGTCTGTCTCTCAGTGAGGATTTCTCCTTGGGGGTTAAAAAAAATAAATCAGACAACCACCAGTTTCGTGTTTTTCACTAACAGTGTATTTTACCACCAGAATATGACAGCAGGGTTACCATACATTTAAGGTGTCTTCCTCAAATTTGCAGGACATTTACTAATTGCCTGTGTACACAATGTGAAATTGAATAGTTACTGTAAGTCTCCTGCAGTGTGTGAGAAGAATCTGGTTAGTCTAAAAGAGATCATTACTGCACAGTTTGCAATTTTATAATTATAAGTAATGTGTGTTTGTTTTTAATATACATTTTCCCATTATGGATGCTGTTATAGTAATGCAGTTGTGGGAAAGGAAGTAGAGGAGTGAAAAGTCTTTTTCTAGGTACAGCCTTTTCAGCCTCATGTAGTCTAAAAGCTATATTATTGTTCATAGGTTATAGATCGCAAGTGTTAAAGGATAAGATGTTTTTAAGATATAAAATAAAATAGTTCTTGGTTTGAAGTTAGGAGACAGTCTTCCTGGATTTTTATTTTTATTTTACAGAGATTAGCACAGATTTATTTTTCTCTATGTGGCACAAAAAAACTTTTTTAAAAAAATCTTCACTAAATTTATAAGCAATAGTAAGTCTGTGTGACTCTGTGTTATGTAATTTTTTTGATACTTTTAAGTGAAATGCCAGGTAATAAGCATTCATAAATCTTGGGTTATTAATTCACAAATCATATTAACATGATAAATCTGCACTCCATTCCTAATAAAAAAAACTTAAAGAATAATACAGTACAACAGTGATTAAACTTCTACTTTTTTTATTCCCAAAACAACAGAATTAAGTACAGTATGTATTAATTCTCTAAACAAAACCACTCATTGTGCTGTGCTGTGTTAAGAGTAAGTTTATGTAAAGTACAGTAACAATATAAAACCTATAATTATGTACTTATCACTTTAGGCCTGCTCTACCCATAAGAGCTTTCTTGGTATTTTTCTCTGGTTGAAGCAGAATGATGTAACATTTCGGCATAAATATCGCAATGAGGAGACCAAAGCTTGAAGCCAAGATGGCAAAAATCTCCACAGCGTCCGAGTATTTCCCAGGAGAGCTGACATAAGCTGGTATGAAAGCGATCCAAACTGCACAGAAGATGAGCATGCTGAAAGTGATGAACTTGGCTTCATTGAAGTTGTCAGGCAGGTTCCTTGCAAGGAAAGCCAGCAGAAAGCAGACACTGGCTAGCAAGCCTATGTACCCCAGCAGGCAACTAAATCCAGTTATTGAGCCAACATTACACTCAAAAATTATTTTTGAGTTTTGATACTGTGTGTTTTTCAATGGTAAAGGAGGGGCCACAGTTAGCCACACAATACAGATCAGAGCCTGGGTGACAGTAAAGACAAAAACAGTGCCTCTCTGTTGTGCAGCACCAAACCACTTCATGACATTATTGTCTGGCAGTGTGGCTCTGAAGGCCATGATGACAACAATGGTTTTCACAAGAATGGAAGATATGCACAAGACAAAACTGATTCCAAACACAACATGTCTCAGCATACAGGTGAGGTGTAGTGGCTGACCAATAAACAGCAATGAGCAGAGGAAGCAGAGTATTAGAGAAAGCAGCAGCAGGAAGCTCAGTTCAGAATTGTTGGCTCTTACAACTGGGGTGTTCCTATAGTAAATGAACACAAATAAAATTGCAGCTGATATACATCCCCCAAACACTGAGACTGTTGTCAAAGAGATTCCTAAAGGCTCCTTGTATGATAGAAACTCAATTTCCTTTGGCACACACTGGTCTCTGCTTGGGTTAGACCAGAAATCAGGTGGACATTTGAAACATTCAATGGTATCTAAAAAAGAACCAGACATATAATCCTTCGAATATCGGATTGTATAGGAAACAATACAAATTAATCAATATTTTTACGTTTAAATCTGCTTTTTACAATCCACAAATAATTAGCGTAACAAAGTAAAACACTGAATGATGCACACACAAGATTAGACAGTACAAATTCATGCAATGAAATGATACACAAAATAATACAGTTTTGAGGAGCAATAAACCTTTCCTTTATTTTTACTTTTGCAAGTTAGAGAAAGAAAGAGTATCTGCCCACCTGTGTGGTTGCTGATCTCTCCCTCTGCACAAGGCACACAGTCGAAACAGCAGAGGGGCTCCCCTTTTCTGGTTGCCTTCCTGGTGCCAGGCTGACAGCTTTCACTGCACACAGACCTGGGGGGCTGTGAACAGATAATAACTTAAGAACATAGGTTCTAGGATAATCAGTATTATAAAATAATGATTTTCTCAATATGCTTAACTGTTTAACAAAATAATCAAAGAGGACAGGTGAAATGTTATGTACTCCAGAACTTCCTGATATTTGAAATTACTTTAAAATAACTAATTAATCGTTTAAGTAATAAATTGATCTTTTTGTTCATACAGTATTTGTTTTGATGCTTTTATTGGATTTTTATGGTTTTCATGGAACATTCACCTGCATTTTGTTTTATTTCTATTCTTATTATGCATTTTTGCACCAGTGAAGGTTACATTTATGACAAAAAAGGTTTGTTAAACAGGAAAAAAATTAGAAAAACGCTTAAGCTACTTACAGAATTAGATTCAAAGTTCCAGAAGATTTTGTCCTCATTCAGACTGAGCTGTTGTCCAGCAGGAGCTGATTCATCATACAGACCGATTGTTACTGTTTTCACAGCCCCGTCATCGGCCCTCTGCCAGTTCATCACATCATAGATTGCAAGAGCATCTCCGTTCTCATCAAAGGACACCCTGTCTCCATAGTGAGTAGTGAAGTTCACTCTCGCCAGGTAGTGCAACAGCTTAGAAAAACAAATAGAAAAATATGAAGCGATCAAATAAAAGAGAGTCAAATAAGAAATAATGAATAAGTACTAAGTAAAGTCAGTAAGTTCTTGACTGAACAAAATAGGATATCACTGTAAGAACATGGAAATGTTAATATTTAAAGCATCTTTAACAATTATTTACAATTTAGAATACATGAAAAAACAATGAGAGTATTGGACAATTTCCTAGACTATTTGATAACCTCTCACCTGCCAGGGCTGCACAGTTGTGATGTCTGCACAGGAGTTATTCTGAAAGGGCCCTTTTCCAGGCTCACAGGACATCAGGTTGTGCAGGGAGTGTGCCAAGGCGTACACTGCTTTATACACATTGTAGGAAGCCCGCAGTTCTGACACATCACTGTAAGACGTTTTGGTGCTTTTAATATCTTCTGTTCCTGAACATATTTTATTACTTTCAAGATCATTTGATTTTGCTTGAAATTTGCAGTCAAATATGTTTTCCCAAAACTGTCTGAGTAAATTATTATTGGAATTAGATGTAGGTTGAATCTGTAGGAGAAATGTTTCCAGCCCTGGGATTTCTCCCCTGCGAATTGCAATTCCTATTGTCCCACCAAATGAGTGGAAATTTTCCTTACTCTGTATTACCGTTGAGGTAGTCCAGGCTTCACTTGCAATCCACTGCCTGTCAGTGATATTCTGGAGAACAATCTCTTCAACCAGAGGATCAAAGTGTGCTCCAGGGGAGAATACAACTATAACCCTCGCTGTGGATCGTCTAATAGTTTTCACAATTTCAAGTATTCTGGCTTTTGAATTCACACTTGGGAGGGTTTCTGAGAAGGAAATACAGCCAAAGTGAGCTATCTGCTCAGTGAAGCTCTTGACAGCACTCTGACCGTAGTCATCACTGCTTGCTATGACACCAACCCAGGTCCATCCGTAGTGCTTGATGATTTGCGCCATGGCTTTGCTTTGATAGTCGTCACTTGGGATTGTTCTGAAGAATGAGGGGAACTTTTTTCTGTTGCTCAGGCAAGCACAAGTAGCATAATAGCTGATCTGGTAAATACAGAAATACATATAAATAAGAATTTAGTATAAGAATAACTAAATATATGAATAATAGAGATGAGCTATCATTTAACACCTTTTATAACTGTTATTTTTTCTTTTGATAGCGTATATAATTTTGTGTTTCTTTCCCTTATATTAGTACTTTTCAAATAGTGTGTGGATTTAAAAGTAAATTTGTAAGTAATGTATTATTCTTGGAAAGTCTACATGTGAAAAATAAAATTATTTGCTATTATATTCATGGTAGATCATAGAGTTTGTTAATGAAATGAAGATGTAATTAAAAAATATTGTTGACACGAATCACTTGCATCCATTTTCTCTTGATGCTCTGATTTAAATTGTTTTGATTCTTGAACCTTGTCTTTGAAAGAACCACAATCCTGTTAGTTTTACCTGTAAATTGCCATTAATTAATCAATTTCTAGAGAACTGGAAAAGTTCAACCATGTTTTGTTTTTAGAACAAAACATTTTAAGCACATATGGACTAGTGCTTCATTGATTCACTGATCAATTCATTCTAATCTTTAGAAACAGGTGATTTATAGTGTTAAATAAAACTTACAGGACCGAGGCTTTCAAGAACCAGCACTGGGCTAGACAGTACTATAGTTCTTGTTTTTAGTATTTATCGTGGTTTACCATTGGGACCCGGAAGAGACCCAGTATTCTTGACACGGCAATAGAGTTTGTTGAGCCAGGGTCCCCAACAATGGCTAAGACAGGGGGAGTCCCTGTACAGCTGTAGTCAGTGACAGAATCATCCTCTCCGCTGATCAGAGCTGTTGCTGCTCTCAGAGCCACTGCCAGGTTCACACAGTTGTCATACAGCCTGTATCCCAGTGTGATGTTAGGGAGAAGAGCAGGGTCTCTGTTTATTTCCTCAATAGCAAAAGCCATGGTCTGTGCATTCTGAAATTCTGATAAGTAAAATCTGCAAGAAGATAAAAATAAATATAAATTCCATTTGAGTCATATATTTATTAACAATTCAGTAGTATTATAGTGATACTACACATATTGTTCTGAAAATTATTTTTATACTAACAGAAAGGAACTTAAAATATTAAATTGGAAATTAACTCACCTTCCACATTTTGGCTGCTCTGGTTTTGAAGTAAAAGATAGTTCTGGATATGTTACTGTTATATGTAGTTCAAATACTCCCCCAAAAACAATATCCCCAGGTTTATATAAACTATTCAACTCAAATTTGTTTTGAATCTTACAATTCGGTACTTTTAAAGTGAAGACTAGAAGGCCTAGACCCGGTAATAAAAATATGTACCAAATGAATTTCATTGCTGCCTAGTACAAAGTTCCACTTTGCTGTGAAGTCGGACATCCCTGCTATATAAACCACACCGGGCTCCTTAGAGAGTGATTTGGTATGCAATAGCTTAACAAGGATGCTGAGTGTCATCCTACTTCATAATGCATGTTTGGGAAATCTAGTCAGCAAAATGTGCAAAACACAATCTAACATTTCCCTTGGTTAGTTACATCATTTTGATTCAGTTAAGCTCTTGCCAATATCAACAATGTGGGGCTATAAAGGGATATTATACCTTGATAATACACTACATCCATTATAAAATGTGTTCTGGACTAGATAGTGAAATGCAATTACAGTAATTGTCTTTCCTGTATGCAACACACACATATTTCTAAAACACAATGAAATGAGTTTCAGTTTAAAAATGCAGGACAGGACACCAGTGGAAACTGGGTTCCAATGGTGTTATAATTTATATAATATAATGATGATAATGGTTTATAATGAAATGAAGCATTTTATTTAAGCTTTCTGAAACAAGAACATTTTGGATGACTTTATCAAGAAAGTAACTGCCATTAACTAACTAAAATAAATATATAAAGAATAAAATTAATCTTTCACGCAGTATTAATTGTACAATATAATTTGTTCTAAGATATAAGCTGTGAATTCAGAATAATTGATCTTGGAGGTTCTTCAGAGCAGTCAGACTGAAAGAGTAGCTGCTGTGCTGAAACACTGAGGTGCTCTACAGTTCTGGGTTCAGGAGAGAACAGACCTCAGGGGCTTCACTATACAGGCCCAGCT